GAAAACAGCTAAATCCATGAATATATCTTGCACAGCAGGAATACTCACTGTATTTATTGTCATTCGAGCTTCAAAATTGTCCACACAGCTAAGAACTAGATCAACAGGTTTTCCTTCTTCTAACCCACCATTACTAGTCAAAGAAAATAAGTTTGAAAAACATCAGGACACAAAATACACTCCAATACATTATACTTACTTGTTCAGTCCAACATTTATACTTTCATTAAATGTTTGACTATAATTATCACATAACTGTGTAATATTAAAGATATATATATATCAAGGATTGAGTAACATACAAATATAACATCAATGGTACTGTAGTATTACTTATTTTATAAGAACTACAGGGTGAAGGAAGTATAAAGTATGTTCACAACAGTTACTTTTTCACTACCGGCTTTCACATTTTTATTCATGCTTCATTACAAATGCAATAAAAGCTAATTGGATGCAATTCATTATTTCAGTGGTGGTCTGACAGTCTCTGAAGAAAACCATTTTCAGACAGAAATACAATCTAGAACACAGAACTTAAAACTGATACTCTCTTCTTATATTGTAACTTACAGGGGTTTTTTGCTTGTTTGCTTTTTAATTGTTTTTGGACAATATATACCTTTAAATGATATTCTAATACATAAAAATTACACAAAAATTACTGTTCTAAAAAAATGGAAAAATATATATCAATCTTCCATTCATTGGATTAATCCATAGATTTTTCTAATAATTTTCTAATACTTGAGCTGGACATTATACAAAATATTCATAAATTAAAATTTTACCTTATTCTATCCATGAAATGTTGAAAGTTTTCCACTGTGGTTATATTATAGTTGTGTACTTCAAAAAGAACATCAGGATTAATGTTCCTAAGAAGGAAAAAGGGAATGATTATAAGCCTGTAATCCTAGCATTTCAAGAGGCTGCGGTGGGAGGATTACTTGAGTCCAGGAGTTCAAGGCTGCAGTGAGCTATCATCGCACCCACTCCACCCCAAACTGGGGGACACAGTGAGACCCTGTCTCTAAAAAAAAAAAAATGTTTTTAAAAAGACTACTACTAGTAGCTGTACTAAGAAAAAGCTGTGAGGAAAAGAACTGAAAGAGCTAAAGGGCATTTAACATACCTTAGAGAAGCGAATTCAAGCTATTCAAAGAAAACCCAAAGTTCTTTTCTATCTCTTTTATCTCACACTTTAAGGACTAGGTTCATTTTTGTCATAAAGATTACAAAACTGTTCCCACCCCAATTAATCTAAGTGTTGGGAATTAAGACTTAACCATGTCCAGTAACTACCTATAGCTCAGCCTCACTTCCTTATTCCAGTTAAGAACAAATTTGGGGCCACAAAGAAAGTTCCTAAAGCAGGGACTGGGGAACTGTGGCCCATGGGCCACATCTGGCCCACCACCTGTTTCTGTGCAACCTTCAGGCTAAGAATTTTTTTCCATTTTTAAGTGGTTGGGAAAAGAATCAAAAGAACATTTTATGACATATAAAAATTGTATCAGCCAGGCACGGTGACTCATGCCTGCAATCCTAGCACTTTGGGAGGGCTAGGTGGGCAGATGGCTTGAGTCTCAAGAGTTTGAGACCAACCTGGGCAATATGGCAAAACCCCGTCTCTGCTAAAACTGCAAAACATTAGCCAGGCATGGTGACACGTGCCTGTAGTCCTAGCTACTCAGGAGGCTGAGATGCGAAGATAGCTTGAGCCTGGGAGGTGAAGGTGCAGTGAGCTGAGATTGTGTTGCTGCACTCCAATCTGGGTGACAGAGTGAGACTCTGTCTCAAAAAAAATTTGTTTTTTAATTTAAAAAATTAAAAATTGTATGAAATTCAAATTTTGGAGTGCAAAAATAGAATTTTATTGGAGCACAGACATGCTTATTCATGTTTATGTTGCCTACAGCTGCTATCACACTACAACTAACAGTTGCAACAGAGAACATCTGGCCCTCAAAGACTAAAATATTTATTATATAACCCTATACATAAAAAGTTTGCCAACCCCATGTCCAACAGGTAAGAGAATTCTTTGTACAAGTGAAATCTGCATTTTATAGAGAAAAATTAAGATCCATTTACATTAACTCATATCAAATACATAAAGTAAGATTTCACTGAATATGTTTCTTGATTGCTATTCCATTTACCTCAGAGTATGTTCTGCTGCTTGAACTTTACTTAATCCTGCTTGATGAGGTTGGAAGAAAAGTCTATTCATATTGGCTAGTTCCACCTTGTCATAATCAAAGAGTAGCAACTAAAATGAAAACAGTGGTATTCTGATGAAAAACATACCAAAAAACTAAAAATATCAAAGAATAAATTTGAGAGCTTTACATTTAATTAGTTTAACAGTTTGATAATAATATTAGCTAACTTTACAACACTGGGTGCCATATATTAATTCATTGAATGCTCATGTGAGGCATGTAGGTACTATTATCCTTATTTTTAAAATGAGGCAACTACAACACTTGTCCAAAGGCCACTCATCTAATATGGGGTGAAAATGGCATTCAAACTCAAGCATTCTCAATCCAGCATCTGCACCGCAACCACAATGCTTTGTTGCCTCTCTAAATAATTCACTCAAAAATTAATTCCCTTTCATTCCATTTTTTAAAACTGTGGCAAAATCCTACTTCATTTCCATTTTTTTGCTAAAAGTCAGGAATCTATTGGATAAATGAAATCTTTAAATAAGATAAAAACAAATGCTGTAACTTAAAATATAGTATAACATGACTCCTTTTGTGTATATGACAAAATATATACCAGTGACATGGCTAAAACATCATTCCAAATAGAATTACAAACCAGTTAATTGTTGTTTCCTGCTATATACTTAAGCCTGTTTCAAAAAGCATTTCACACACACACACACACACACACACACACACACTAAAATGGCAATTAGATCACATTTCTTATCGATAAGAACAGGCTAGAGACAAGGACTTCCTAAGTCCCTTCTTGATATGAAATTCTGTGACTCTGTAATACAATTCTCAGCATACTAAACAATAAACACAAAAATGGGATTTTCTTCTCAATAAAAAAAACTAAAAAGAAAAAAAATTAACCTAACCCATAACTCCTAGATAGCCCTTAATACCTTGCTAGAAAAGATCTCACTCTCCAAAATTTTCTAATCCTACTTAAGAGTCTCCAAAACATAGTTTATTTAAGTTCATCAATAAATATTTATTAGGTCAGGCTAAGTATTAAATGAGTTTCTGCCTCATAGCTTGTTTATACATAAGTTGCGGGAAACACTAAACTTGGGAACAGAAGGTCTGAGGTGTAACTCTGCCACTAATTAGTTCTGATTGTGGGTAAATCATTTTCACTTTTTAGGCCTGTATCTTCATCTCTAAAATAAAGCAGCGAGTATAGATCTGGTGATCCAAGGCATCCCAGATACTTTAAAGAGATCCCAGAGGCTTTCAGAGATAAGAAATGGACTCTGGGTTTCCTAACATCTTCTATTTTCCTGTTTAACCTCATTAATTCGCTTCATATTTATCTGTTTTACAAATTAAAGAAAGACTTCCTGAAACTTACCTGTGTAGATTCTGTTTACAAACTTGAGGGCACACTGGAATCACTTGGAGAATTTTTAAAAATACAGATGTTTGTGCCTCATCCCCAGAGATTCTTATATGGGGTGCAGTCTGGACACCAGAATTTTTTAAAACTTCCCAGGTGATTCTAACTACAACAATATATAAATACTGTTCTACCTCTTTGCTACTCAAAATGTGGCCTGGTCTAGCTAATGCAGCTAGCATCTAGCTAATGGAGCTAGCATTAGCATCACCTGAAGCTTGTTAGAGATGCAAGAGCACTTCTCCAACTTTAATATGCAAATGAATCATTTGGGGATCGTGTTACAATACAGATTCTGATTCAGTATGTCTGGGGTAGGTATTGAGAGCTGATACTGATGTTACTACTTCAGGGACCAAACTCAGAGTAGCAAGGATCCAGTGGTTCTCACTAGTGTAATCCTAGGAACATCATCATCAGGATCACCTGGGAGCTTGTCAGCAAGTCAATTATTAAGTCCACCTGATACCTATAAAAAATCAACACCACCAGAGTAGGATCTGTTAATCTGTGCTTTAATAAGGCTTCCAACTAATTGTGATAACATATTCAAACTTGAGAGCCGCTAATCTCAATAATCTCTATTATCCCTGGTCAATAGAGGTCAGAGATCTCTAATATCCCTGGTCAGGGTAATTAAGTCAGCTATAAGCAATTTTTATCCAGATTTTGTAAATCTTTTGAAAGATATTAAAATTTCAATGAACATTTTTAGTATTTTGGTGTTATTTCTATATTGATAAGTGAGTGCCAATTTTGAAATCACTTTCTTTTAAGAATTTGGGGTAGATCAACATATTAGAAAGCATTGGTAAACTGGGAGAATGCTTCCTTTGCCAGAACAACAAATTAAAGGATACATAATTGTGGAAAGTTTATTTATTCAACCATTATGTATCTAACATCATAGACTTTGGCTTTATAAATCTAAGACTGGTAGACTGAATTCTGGTACAAGAAAGTTACTTCTTTCTACCCATAATCTAAATAAATTTTAGAAAAAAGTAAAGAAGTACCAATTTTTAAAAATTCATCCAGAGCATCCTCTAGTTCAAAATCAAGAGTAGGAAAGGTACATGTTTTCTATTCTGTCTGGTATGTTTAATAAAATAATTGTTAGATGTTTCAGTGTTTCACACACTATCAAATTAACAGCCTTCTTTCCTAAGCTTCTATATCTAAAACACTTAAGTCCAAATTGTTTACATATTACTTCAAACAAAAACGTTTCTAAACACAATTAGACAATCTTTGTCTAATTAGAAATAATATCACCTTTTATTTGGGTGGGGATATGTCTCAACCCAAATAGAACAATCTACATTAATACACTGCAAGTCAATAAGCCATTAGTAAAGAAAAAAAAATCCTAATTTGTACCTGATTTACTCCAGGAGTGAGTAGTTCCCTATACAAGAGGCAAAGAGAAATGTTTTTACCTTACCAATGCCACATCTTGTCAGCATTTCAGCAGTCACACTACCTACTCCACCAACACCTACTATTGCTACGGCAAAGGTACGGATTTTCTGTGAAATACAAAATAGTATATGTTGGTTAATAGGTCTTCATCAAATATGTCACCAGAAGTTATTTTATAATTCACTGAATTCATCTTACAAAAACTTGGAAAGGGTTTATCATACCTCATAGTCGCTTACAATTCCCATTCGTTTCAATGCCATCAAGCGGCTTAAAACAAAGAAAAATATGTTTTAAAGCTTACAGTCTTTTAGGTAATAGTAATACAAATAGACATACATCACCACAGAAAATAAACACCAAAATATAATCATTACTAATCGTTTCAAAGAGGAGGATGCTTACAGGCTGGTTTTTACCAGATGAAACTCAATTGCCCAGGTACCTTAAAAACTCCCAAGTGTAGTCCATGAAACAAGATTGGTTTTTAAAAGCTATGTATTCTGATTTGCAGCCAAGATTGTGACTACTACTTAAATGTTAAGGGTCAAAGTTAAATTTCAACATTTTTCTATGCTTTGGTAGAATACGTAAATATTTAATGTTTTAACACTCAGATCTCCATCATCAGAGTAAATTCATGGCTGGAATTCCATTCTCGTTGCCTCTGCCCACAATGGATGATGTCTACTTTTAGTAAGCACCTACTGTATGCCAAAGACTCTAAGAGGTGCTTTAACTAGTTACTGGTAATCTGCAGTTTAAGTCTATAATTAATTCCCATTCATCTTCACTTTAAGGAGTCAAATAGTTCCACCAGGCTTGTCAGGAAATTCAGCCTCCACCCCCATTTTCCACTCCCTCACTTTTAACTCCGTTACCATCATATTCCTAAACAACATGCTAACATTGTATTTCTTTTCAGTTATAGTCAATTATCTGAATCAGATTTTGCTCTTAGCATTCATCCCTACTGCACACAGACATTTTCCATCCCACCAACCTCCCAATATTATTATATGGTCATCTTGGTTAGATGTTAACTCTTCACAACCAGGTCATGCAGTATATTAAAACTTACCCTTTCCTTTAACCCCCAACCCTGAAGTTAATAAGTGTGCTTCTCCTGATGCTTAATTTCCTATGTATTTTCACAAAATCAACTCCAACTTTTCATTAGTTGTCTAAAGTTCCTCTAGATACATTCATATTCATGAGGTATTCTATCAATTTCATCTTCTTAAAGATGTATCTCCTAGAATCTGACATGATGTCTCTAGACTTACTGCACATACAGCTCCCTTCCTAGGCTCTTCCTTCATCATTATACTACAAAGTCTCTTAATTTCTTTATTCTGTATTAATCCACTGCTTCCTGTATGCTATAGCTCACTAGTTCTAAAGTGTCTATGGATCAGCAACAGGACCACCTGAGAATTTAATAGAAATGAAATTTCTTAGGCCCTACCCTATAATCACCCACTGAATCAGAAATCTTGAATGTGGAGTCTAACAATTTGCTCTAACAAGCCCTCCAGTAATTCTGATGCACATGACAGTTTAAAAGACTGTCATCAATTATTAAACTTACTCTCTTGCTGTGGTTAGAACATCTTCCAGTAGTTTTGCAAAGGGTACAGCAGAGGTAAATTTTGAGAACTTTCATGTCTGAAAATGTTCCTTATCAAAATTATGTTCTTTATAAAAATGACAAAGCAAAGGGCATATAATTGTGGGAAGCTACACGTATACTCTCAATCGATAGTTTAACTTGGTAAAGAAGTCTAAAGTTAGAATTGTCTTTCAACATTTTAAGGTATTGCTCCAGTGTCTCCTAGCTTGTAAAATTTCACAGTGTCCCTTAATGTGAATCTGTTCTCATCCCTTCTGCTGAGTTTTTAGTGAACCCTTTCAAAATGAAAACTCACATTTTCAGTTCTGGGAATTTTCCTTGAAGAATTTGGTTACTTCCTTGTTTGGTTTGTTTCCTGGACTGTCTGGAACTATTATTTGGAAGTTGGACCATTTGGATTTGTCCTTTATCTTCTTTCTCCAATTATCTACCATTTTAGTTTTCTGCTCTATTCTCTGGATGATTTCTTTTGACTTTATTTTCCAACACGTCTATTAAGATTTTCATTTCTATTACCATCTCCATTTGCAAGAATTCTTGATCATCTAACTACTTTGCACCTTGTTCCTGTATCATTTGTACCATATCTTCTCTCATCGCAGGATACTAATGATAATTTAGGGGGATGTGTTTCTCTTACATAGTCTATCCAAGTTGCTATTTTTATTTCTTTCATGTTAGAAGTTTCTCTCATCCTTTGTTCTGTTCATATTTAAGAGTGGGACACTAATAAAGGTAACAATATAGGCAATACTGTTTGACTTCACTGGCCTATTTAGTTGAGAAACCCACAATGTCAGTGTCTTTCAGTCTTTCCTCTTGGCTCTATCAGATTCCCTAGAGAATAATCTTTCAAACTCCAACCTGAGTTGGAGTTCCAACCCCACGATCAGCTGTTGGAAGTGAAGAAGCAAGGCTGGGAGTCTCAGCATTCAGTAATGTAAGCATTTAGTTTACATTCAGTCACAACATTCAGCATGTAAACAACCAGTTTACCCCTTCTTTCAGGTACAAAGACCTGCCCCAATTATTCTTGGAAATCTTCTATTTTAGTCTTTCTAATGAAGAAATCGCTACTCTCCTCTTCTGGTAGGGAAGGAATGTTTGCCCAGTTACCCACAGTGGAGTAGGGGATCTGGGGCTTTGTTTCTTCAACAGATTTTCAACTGAAAGTTTTGGGGGTTTTTTAGCCCTCCCTGAAGTTCTCCAAGTACCTGTGTCTATTCCTGAGCCTTTGGGGATTCCTGCAATAAACTGGGTTGCAAGCTTAAGATTAAACTTCTCTGAATCTATTAAATCAGTTACCTTCACCCATCCCTTCTCTAGTTTCCAAATTGTTACTATAATCAAGTACAGGGACGCACCCCTCCCCATAAGTTATTAGTACGAACCCTTTATATTTTCAATGGGAGTTTTCTTTTAAAAAATTCCTTTACTGTCATTTTAGTGAAGTTGGTTAGAAAGTGATGCAGATCCATCACAGGAATTTGCTATCCTTACCTTGATGCTCCCTTCAATCTTTAAATAACCTGAAAAGCATGGATGGCAACCCCATTTTACAAATGAGGGAAACAGTTTGGGTTAATCAACTGTCCAAGATTAGCTAACTGGCAAACAGTATTCTGAGCTGGGTTTCTGGATCAAGATTTGATACCAGGTTTTCTAATCTCAAAGCCTCTCCAGTTTTTCCACAAGCTTATAACTATATTCCATAACACATAATTTTACGGTTACTTATGTTGTTTAATATCCCACATCCATGTAGTCTCTCAAACTGAAGCAAAAGTCAGGGGCTTTATATTTCTTTTGTATCTCTTGAAGCAGTTAAAATGGTGTTGAACACACACATATCCCTTTCCTATAACCTTCTGTACTTCATCATAATTCAATAACCTGTACTTTATCAATAATAACACGGTACTTTATCATAATTCTTACCACCTGTACTGCAATGCACGTTTACTTTTCTATTTATCTCATACTCATCTGGTAAGCTCTACAGGAAAAAGACCATGTCTACTTTATATTCACAGTGTCTGCGCATAATAAGTACTCAATACAAAGTAAATAATGTTGTCAAGGAGGACTGGAGATGAAAAGGTACTCAGTAAATATTTGCTGTATGAACAATTCAAAAAATTAAAGCTGACTTTTATTAAAATTCCATATACCAGTGAAGAGCTTTGGGTATCAAACTGCCATCTCCTGTATAGCAATTTTAATAAAGTCAATGGCGCAAATCAGATAGGAAATACTAAATATTTAGACTTGGGTTCTGAAAGTCTTGTTTGTCATCATTACAATGTCAAGGGATCATCTCATATTAAAATGATGTCTGAAAGACAACTTAAGTTCATGACCCATATTCCTCTGCTTTTCATTCTGGAGGGAAAATTTCGAAGTCTTCATTTGTAAAATTTTCAAATGTTTTAAAAATGTCAAATAGTTTCCACTTATTCTGATTAGAGATGTCAGTTCATGCTTATTTAATCTCTAAAAAGTTTGGACCATTAACCCTTCATATTTGGCAACATAGTTAAAACAGTGCACCTTAAGACTTCTACTGCGGCTTTATATATCACAAACTAAAACCTGTTTTAAAAATCAAAACTCTTATGCTCTTTAAAGGAAAAAAGCAACAATAAAATCTTCCTTATCTACTTTAACACTATACAATTTTTAGCTACACGACTTAATTGTTTTTACTGGGGAGACAGTTCATGAGAATTTTACATTAAGACAAATCTAATGCAAGACAGGCTGTATAATTTACTACCAAGGCATGAACCTGAGGTGGCTGTCTAAGCCTCAATTTTCTCACCTATATAACGGGGGTAAAATAGTAGCAATCCCATTGGGTTTTGGTGAGAGGAGACAATGCATGTAAAGTGCTTAGCACAGTGAAAGCTCAATAACTGCTTGCTACTAAATGCACCTAGCAATAAAATCTTGTATAAGGTTTACCATGTACAAGCGCTACTCTAAGACCTTTATACATACTGATTGTTTTCAATCGCCACAACTATGACAGAGATAGATATTACTGTTATCTTCATTGTATAGGTGAGAAGCTGAAGCGGAGAGTTTCACAACTTTCCTAAGGTTAGGCAGTTATTAAGAGAGTAGTTAGATTTGAATTGCAATCAGTCTGGCGATAGAGTCCTTACTCTTAACCATTGCACTACATTCCATCTGCTGAATTGACAAGTTTTATTAGGAAAGAAGAAAAGAGAGGCCTGGGCAGTCTTGGTAATGCCGAATGGTTTGAGATGTTAAGGAGCACCCGAATATCTCAGATTAGAGCTAATCCCGCTCTCCCCCGCCCCGCCCCCATTTAAAATGCATTGATAAGCCTTTATGAACCTCAAAGTTTACCTTAGCAGGTTTTACATCTTCTAAAAGTTCTTACTATCAGTCTTATACACAGCGAGGTGGACTAATTAAGAGGCAAGGGCGATAGGAAACTGGACATACGTCCTCAGCAGGCACAGGAGCAGCACCATATGGCTGACTCACTGGAGGTTTATTAAAAAGAGAAATAATATCTTCCGATCAGTACTAAGATGTGGCCTTGCCCATTTGGGAAGAGGATTCCCAGACCAAGAAAAGGGTGGAGGGAGTCCGCATGAGCGGGACGTGGAAGGCTCCTCACTTCTGACCTCACGGAGCTTGACCTCGTCTCCCGCGCCTGCCTCCGACCGGCGACGCAGGTTACCTGTAGGGATTCGAATCCACCACCTCTGAGCTCATCTTCTCGATGCGGATCCGGCCGCCCCCTCCTTCGCCGCTCCCCGGGACCCGCCGATTTCTCTCCTGGGCAAGTTCCCGCTCCAGCTCCTGGACCCGCTGCTGCAGCCGCTCCACAGACTCGGCCATGGCTGGGACTCCGGCCGCCAACGCTCCCAGCCCGGGCCTTCGCCGCCGCCTTCGCCCCACGCTGCTCGGCTGGGCCCGCAAAGGGTACTTGGGGAGGCACCTAACCGCTGCCTTCCTAGCCCAGAGACCTGGGGAAGTGCACCCAGAGCCTCACAGACAGACACGTCTCCTTCACTCCTTCCTCGGAGCCGCTTCCGGTGCGTCGCAGACATCGCTCCCCCTTAGCAAAAACCTGGCTCTTTCGGCTTCCTTCCTCGCTGGGTAGGCTAAACCCGGCCGCAGCAGGACCGGGGTGATAAGTGTCCTGGGCAGGAGGCCTGCGATGCTGCCTTTCTAACCGGGTGTCTAGGAGAAACAGGGTCTTTTTATTCTTGGGCTCGAGGTCCTGACGGGCTTTTTTCTGAACCGGACCCTGCAGGTCTTCCGCCTGCTGATGCATTAAATTTGGGGATGGAAGAGGCTTCTGCCTTGTTCCTTTCGCGCAACGATGACCGTGGCTTTGCTTTCTTTAACATTGAGGCCTCCAACTCTGACGCTGACTGGAGAACTGAAATCCGAACACACATTGGGCTCTTCTGGCACTTGGCTAGAGCTAAAACCTCCAGCTACAACGGGCAAGCGTTGCTCAGCAACGGCGCGTAGGGTGTATGTGGTTGGCTGGAACCAGACCCCGCCCCGGCCTCGGCCTGTGCTCTGGGGGCGTTGCCCAATCCTGAAGGACTTCTGCGCTCCTGACCTGTGGATTTCGCTTTGCTGTGGCCTGCGGGGGCGATCATGAAGCTAGGTGCTACTGGCGAGCCCAATGTGGACGAAATGCTGCCCCAGCACAAGTTCGACAGCAAGTCCCTGGATGCTTACCTAAACCAGCACTTGCCTGGCTTTGGGGCCGAACGTGAGGCTACGCTGACCATTGCCCAGTACAGGTATCGACGCCAGCCTTTGCCTCCAGCGGAAACAAATTTGTGCATTGCCTTTTCCTTCCTTTGGCCCTGGGTGGTTTCCAAAGTTTCTCCCACCCCGACTGCTTTTCCTGCAGTCGGTGGACGCACCCTGCAGGCATGAGCTGCTATTGCCTGCCTCCCGAATTCGATGCTGGGGTCTTCCCAATTGGAGGGCGGTAATGGAAGCGCAATAACGTTCACCATTCCACTATCCAAAGGAATCGTTGTTAAAGGATGGATTTATGTCCCTCGAGGATTCACCAAGGCAATTAAGGCTAGAAATTCTGAGAAATAGATGCCTTCTTTTGTAATACAACCATTAGATCTTTTTCTGAGAAGCTGGTGTAATTCCGTTTGGCGGTATTCCGGGAGGCTGAGTTAATGACACCAGATGGAGGATCCGAATTCGAGTACTAGCTTTTCCACTTAGGAGGTCACAGCACCACTTTGGGCCTCAGGTTTTTTGAAGTGAGGTAATGCAACTGGGTGAGAGGATCCTGAGAATACCGTTCCCTACCGAGAATCTGGCTTTGGTCTGATGTTTTACAATAGATGATACATTCTTAAAACTTTATTCTAAAAATAACATTGTTACTAATACAGGGCTATAGAAAGAGTCCTATCATTCAGAAAACTGGATCTGTCACTTGCTGTCTGGGGGTTTAAATATGTTACATAAACACTCTTGAGAACCGGTTTCCTAAGTTGTAATACCTATTTTAATTAGTCTTATTAATGAAATGAAGTACCGTAATATAGGTGAAAGGTCGTAAAAATTGCAACAACACAGTATGCTAGTGGTATTTTATCACTGGCATTTATATTCTTTGACTACTGATTTTGGTGAAAATGAAAATAGTAATAAATGAGATTGATCAGGGAACATTTTAGGGTGTAGAATCAAAAGGTCCCATGTCCCAGTAGATATTGGAGGATGAAGGTAAAGGTGGAATAAAGAATAGCTGAGATTTCTGGGCCAGAAGCCTCGTGTTGTAACAAACTAAAACAGATCAAAGTTCAAATTTCAACTATTTCAATTCCTGTGGAGTTTGGACGAGTTGCCCTTTGAGCATCTAGTCCTGCTTTGGCAAACAGGAGATAGTAACGTCCATATTGTAGGGGTGTCGAAGAGGTACATAACTGAAAGAGACTTAATTCTGAACCAAGCTGAATGTTAAACCATAATCGTGTTTAAAAAATGAAATTAGTTTGGTATAAAAATTGCTTCCAGAAATGTTGTATAAGCTTGGTTTGACAAATATATACAGAACTCTGGATCCCACAGAGAACATGCATTCATTTCTAGGACACGTGAAAAAGTTTATAAAAATTGAAAACACATAGGCCACGAAGGAAGTCTCAAAAATTCAAAAGAATCAATCTTTATATTTTGAAAATATGTGTTTTGGCCAGGTGCAGTGGCTCACACCTGTAATCCTAGCACTTTGGGAGGCGGAGGCACGTGAATCACTTGCGGTCAGGAGTTCAAGACCAGCCTGGCCAACATGGTGAAACCCCCATCTCTACTAAAGATACAAAAATTAGCCCGGCGTGGTGGCATGTGCCTGTAGTCCCAGCTACTTGGGAGGCTGAGAGAGGAGAATCGCTTGAACCAGGAGAGGGAGGTTGCAGTGAGCTGAGATTGTACCACCACACTCCAGCCTGGGTGGCACAGTGAGACTCAAAAAAAAAAAAAAAAAGAAAGAAAGAAAATGTGTTTTTTTAAATGCCAAAAGTTTAACAAAAGACAGCTAACAAATACATGTTTATAAATTAATT